ACAAACAAAAAATAATTTAAAAATCCATTATGCCCATAATATGGCTCCAGTTCTGCTATCACAGTGCTGAACTGCAATCTGTGAAAATCATGAATAACCTCCTGGGAACAAGGAAAGAGAAGTTCACAGAACACTGTGAACCATTGCCTCTCCCAAATACATTGGGTGATACGAAATACATCAGTATGTCCTAGCCCTTTTCACAGGGGCAAGGACTTCTCAGCAGAGGTTTGCCCTTTTGCAGGTCTTTAAACTTGTGTGATATCAGGTCTCAGAAGCAGCTGTGGAGAAACATTGGCAGCTACCCTACCACTGCAAGTGGAGAGCTAAGGACAGTATAAATAATTGCATGTACCAGCTCAAGAGGTGGAAATACACAGACCTTGACTTCTGCTCGACTTCAGCTGGTGACAGTGGAAAACTGTGATAGTTTCACCTATGTTTTTTTCCCTGTCACTGAGAATTCAGTGAGAATGAGCAACTGGCAAATACTACTTCATAGTTAGGATGTGTATATGATGAAAAGCTGGTTACCATAACATGTGTGGAAGAATTCACCTCTCTACACTGGGCAAAGGCATGGGGGCTGGCTGGGTTCAGGGTATCAGCTCTGCGACATTGGTACTAATGCAATACCTTTCTCTTGCAGCCGGATGAATAAGTAGTACCACAGGCTGACAAAGTCTCTGACTGTCCCTAACCACCTGCCAGCCCATAGTGCTCTGTGAATCCACCTCCCCTTCTCTTGTTTTGATACCATTCCTTATGCCTTCATTATTCTCCCCACATAATGCCATGGGGGGAAGTCGTCCGATGAGGAGCCGATGCACGAGACAAGAAACTCTTAAGGGTTACAACTGAGCTCTACAAGGAGGGACACTGAATAGAAGGGTATATATATATAGATACGCTTGTATTTTGCTCATGCACTTAATTTGTCCATCTTGTGGAACTGATTTTATATGCTTCTTTTATCCACCTGAGTTACAATAAATTACTTTGGGATTGTGGTGTTGTTTGTTTGTGTTTTGTTTTGTTTTGTTTTGTTTTGTTTGAAGCTGGACTAATTTTTTATTTTTTTTTTCCTGAGGGACGGTCTTATGGTTCAAACCTGCATTTCTCCCTTTGGTCTAGGAAGTAAGTTTGGGGAAAGGGGTGACAAAGAATTTAGTGGAACAAAGGATATTTGGACTGCATAAGCCAGCAGATGCTTTTGGGAAAGCCCTCCCTGAAATGTCTCTTTGTTGTCTCAAAGAAATGAGAAGAGAGAGTGGAAAGCCCAGGAAATTGACAATGGGAGCAGAAGAAAGAAAAATGCTGTTAAAATAGGTAGACAGAAGTCTTGTCTTTGTATAAGGTAATTCTCCATTCTGCTAGAGATGGGTCATAGAGGCCTTAAGGTCCTACAGCTGTCACTGACTGTACTCCAGGTTTGCTAATTTGCTCTGGGCTTGCTGGGGAGAGGCAGAAAGAGACACAGTGCTGTCCCCACACACAACCCTCTGCGGGATTGCTGGTGCGAGAGGGGGTTTCTCTGTCACCATCATGTCAGCATGGCACAGTTGAAAAAAAGCACAGGTGGCTACAACGGCAGAGCCACCACCTGTGAGCTGGGGGAAGCCTACCAGTCACCCTCCCTGTCTGAAAGCTGCCACAGCCACTGCTGCCCCTGCAGAGGGGACGCAGCTGTGGCAGCAGGTGTGGGCCAGCCCCTGGGTAGCCACCACCAGTGCCCTGCTGGCTCCTCCACCACCGTCTTCACACGACACGGAGAGAGGAAGGCACACCGATGTCTTTTTCCTTCCCATAGTCTGTGCTTGTGCACACAAAACTACACTGATTTTAGAAAAGAATAGTTCAGTTGGAAGAGACCTACAAGGGTCATCGAGTCCAACTACTTGACCAGGTCAGGGCTACAGAAAAGCTGAAGCATCTTGTTAAGGGCATTATCCAAATGCCTCCTGAACGCTGACAGGCATGGGGCCACCACCTCACCAGGAAGCCTGTTACAGTGTCCAGTTTTGGAAAAACCCCAGTCCACACCCTGTACACGCTCTTCTTGCTCTTGTCCTGTCCCTGAACTGCCAGCTTGCCTCGGGTGCCAGCTGATGCCCATCAGTCTGCTCAGCAAGACAGGAGGGGGTTTAAGGAGAGGTCAGCTCTCAGAGCTGTAAGAAGGGAAATGAGCACAGTGTCAGGGGTGCTCAGTGTAACGATTACACCAAAGTGCTTGGAATATTCCCCTCAGCCAAAACCAACAACCCCTGTTGTCCAGACCCTTTTTCTTCTATAACTGTCTCCTCTGCCTCCCCAATTTATTGGGCAGAAATAAACTTCCTAGTTTATTTCTGCCCCTTGACTGCAGTGTGAGGCCCCACTGCCTCGTGCTCCCTGCAGCAAAGCGCTCCCATCCCTCAGCATTCAGAGCCAAATGGCCCCATGTGTTTCTTCCCGTGTCCCCAAGGTCTAGAAGGGAGGACTCTGTGCTTAACCCTCTTCTCATTTCACTTTATCTCACTGCTGAAATCCCAACCTATTTTTGAACTTTTTTTTTTTTTAAGTGATTTCTTGATGTTCAGATAACTCAGACATACTTAGACAAGCTAGGAGAATTGGTAGTAAAATTAATATTGTAATTATGTGTTACAAATACGAAGCAAAGAAATCATTTTGGCTCCCTCCTGACATTATAGGTTCCCAGATTAACAGGTCAGGAACTCCTAGTTATTCTCTCCGTGTAGTGTTTGGGGATTTTAAAAAGTAGCACAATTACATTCTAAAATGACATCTTTGCATCCTTTACGGACAGGAACTCACTGCCTCAGGCCAAAAGCACAGAAGGGATGAAAAAGGGGTCAGTAAAATAGAGAAGACAAGAACATAGAAAGCATGACATCAGGCAGGTTGGGCGTAGGGGAAACAGGAGGATATATACACCTCTGCCAAAGAGCATGCGGCTTTATAACCACCACAAGTCTGACAAGCCTATGCTGGTACTTCCTTTTCTCAAGCAAAATATCAACTACGAATATTTATGAATGACAGAGGAAAAAATCTTTTAGAATGTGCCCACCTGAGGAAAAGCATCCAGCTGAAAATCCTTTTTTTTTTTTTGAATCCTTTTTTTTTTTTTTTTTTAATATGGCAAGCCCTTAATATTTCTGTGTTGCTCATGACCAGCATTAGACAATGTCTTCTGTCTCCCGAGCTGAGCTATTAGCACTTGCCCATTTTGCAGATGAATTAACCGAGAGATCTCGCTAAATCTTTTCATACAGTGCTAGAAATAGAACCTAAGGTTTGGATATGATAAATCTACATTGCAGTTGCTGTCTTTTCTGGTCAAATATGCTAATGTATCTGCTTGGCTGGCTTACTGTTAGCCATTAACCACACCCTGCTCAAAGAGCCAGAAAGGATGCCAGGAAACCTGTGAGCAAGCATACCAGGATCGCCTCACAAGTGGCTGTGTAAACCTTAGAGTTCACTTTGGGGCTCTGCGCCTGGATTTAACTGAATCCATGGTCTGTAAGAAACATGGGAAGCTTCCCATGGTCACAAGCAAAGCCCCAAGGAAGAGCTGCAGACCATCAAAGCCCTGCCATTAGAAGTGGATTTGGTTATTCCACTAATGCTTCTGTTAATGCTTTTGCTTTTATGATGTTGGTGCTTGTCTCTTGTTAATGAGATCTGTTCCTTTAGGCATAAAAGGCAACCACTGCGTACAGCATTTTCCTTGCTCGTCAGAGCTGCTGTCCAGAAAGAACTGATCTATATGCAGTGAACTTTTCCAGAAAACAATTTTACAATTTGGCATGGTAACAGCAGTGTTTCTTTGGGCCTGGACGCATTAGGATATTCTGGTAGGGTACTGAGCCTTTGGACAGCAGATCACTGGTTGGAGTCCAGCCTGACTCTGTAGGCATTAGAAATCACTCCAATCTCTGTAAGTCCTTCTAGGAGATGAGTCCGGGGGGGTTCACTTCTAGCATTTCTATCTTTTATTCAGAGGTGGTCAAAGCACCAAATAAAACCTATTTTCATCACAACTTGCATATTTACACAGATTAAACCATAGAGAAATCCATTCAGATGAGATGGACAAATGGACTAACATCTGCTTCGGAGTATGACAGCCCTAGGCTAAATGCTCTCCTTACCATAGGGTTCATACCACTTCACAGTAAATCTTCAATTTTGTGTTTCCATGCAAGCTAAGAACCCAGGCACATTTTTCAATCACCAGAAGCCCCCTTGAGAAAGCAGGACCTGTCCCCATCCAGCTCTGCTCACATCTCTCTGGGCAGGTGTAGCCCAAGCCACGAAAAGGGCTACGAGATGCTACCACCTGCAGGGAGCTGAGGCAGGAAGGCAGCGCAGAAAGTGCCAGGAGCTTGGCTTGCAGTTCCCCTGAGATAACAAGAGGATTTATTCACCCACATAGGCGGGCTTACAATTCACACTACGGAGACTCAACTTCTGAATCACGACGGTAACGTGGAAGCTATCACATTAAATAATTCATACAAATGCCATTATTGGAGCTGCACGAGTGTTTACATTTATGGATATAGACCTTCTCACTTCAAGGCATAAGCCTGCTGCAAATGATAGGAGTTGAGAAGTGACTGAAGGGGTCGAAATGATCGTGGCTGTCCCTTCCTACACGTCCCTGGCTCCTGGTAGCCCAGCTGCTGAGATGCACAACCACGGGGCTGTTCCACCGGGCTGCTCCTGCATGCCAAGGAGCAGTCACAGCAGCTAACGCAGGTCGTAGGGACAGCACCTCTGGAGCTGCCTGACCACCGAGAGCTGGGCCTGAGCTGCCTTGCCCAAGGGTCTCTTCTTCTGCTGCTGAGATTCTCTGGTACCCAATGCTCTTGGGATGGATGGATGCAGCCAACACTGACAGCGGGGCGTGCAATCTGACAGGGTGATCGCGCTGGGCAGGCCCTGAATCCGCTCCCTCCCTCCTTCCCTTCCCTTCCCTTCCCTCTTGCCGCTGCCTGCCCGCCCCCCCCCGGCTGCTCGGCCCCCGCCGTCGCCCCGCCCGGCGGGCGGATGGCCGGAGCCAGGGGCCGGGGCTGCTGCTTGCGGCGGCCGCTGCGGCGGCCGGGGGCGGCGGAGCGGGGCGTCGCCATGGCAGCTCCAGCAGAGGTAGGATGGGGCCCCCCCCGCCACCGCGATCGGCCCCCGCCTCGCCTCCACCGGGCTGGGCCGGGCTGGGCTGGGCTGGGCTGGGCTGGGCTCGGCCGCCCCCGGCCCCCCGCGAGGTGCGGGGCAGCGCCGAGCATCGCACGCCCTGCGCCGGGGGCGCTGCGGCTGGGGAGGGCGGCGGGAGAGGGGGGGGGCTGCGAGGAAATGCGGCCCCCCGGGGTTAGCGGGGAGGCCTAGCTGCAAACGTGTGATGGTGGCGTGGGGGGGGAGATAGGGCTGAGAGGAGCGGGGCCAGCTCCCACAAGCCGCGATGGGGTGCTCGGCTGCAAGCGGGGGAAAGCCGCAGGTGGTTAGCGAGAAATCAGGGGAGAGCCAAAAGGATGGGGAGGGGGGGAGGTGGGAGCAGCTCGCACGGCCTCGGGGTCTCAGGGGGAATGAGTTTGGGTCAGTTCGGGGTGAGGCCGCCGTCCCCGCAGGGCATCAGTGCGAGGTGTGTTGTGCTGCAGGGCCGTGGGGTTTCGGTGCGGTGCTGGGGCAGGGGACCTAGGGGACCGCAGCCCTGGGTCGGGTGGGATGGGCAGGTTGGAGTCCTGAGTGCTGACAGCGAGAAGCAGGGGTGCAAGGGCTGGCGTGGTGGTGGGAGCTGCACACTGGGAGCAGGGGGTGTTGGCACGGGTGTTTGGGAATGGCAGGGAGCAATGCAGATGAGGGCATCGGTTTAAAAGGCGGCGTTATTAATATGCTGGGTGGGGAGCCTGGGACTGGAACAGCAGGGAGAGCAGGGTGTCTGAGGAGCTCGGGAAGGGCCAGAGGTATGCAGGTACCCGCACAAATCTGGGTCTTCTGTTCCCTGAAAGACACAGGAAGGGCTCTGCGAAGCCTAAGTCATGACAATGTGTTTGTGTGGGCAAGGAGAGAGATCTAGGAAGATGGTACGATCTTAAATTACTTTTTTTTCTTTTCTTTCTTCTACAGTGAACCTCCTGCCCTGAATCTCCAAGGGAACCTTTGTAAAGGATCTTCCCCTCCCCACCATCTCCTTATTGTTTGCTAGCTCTGCCCTGCGCTGTGCAGGGAAGCTTGAAAGAGCAGGCTGAGCCCTGGAGGACAGCAAAAAGGACAATGCAGTGAGGGTGCTGCGGGGTCTGGGCTAGGAAACTCCCTGAATCTTCTTCCTCACCCTTCACTCTCCGTTGATGGCTCTCTGACACCCTTGCCAGCACCTCCTACCTGGCCACGAGTGTGGCATTTGGTCAGACGGAGGTTACGCACTGTGTATACACCACCCTCACCTTTTCCGTGGGACCTTCGTCTTCTCTGAAACTCTTTGCTAGTTCCTCGTTCACTAGGACGCTGGGCAACAGGCACCCAGTGCTATCAAACTGCCCGAAGTGCCAGCATTCAGGTTGTGTGTGGCCTTCACCAGTCCCAGGAGAAGGTGGTCCCTGAGGCAGAAGGTGTCCGGGCAGCACATGAAGTAAGGGGAGCTTTTTCTTTGGGGGAAGAGTAGAGAAAGGGAATGAAATAGATGGAGAGGAAAAGCAAAAGTGAGCATGAGAGACTGAGGGAAGAAGCACCGACAAGTGTTCATGAGAAGGAACGAAGGTGGCAGACAGAAAGAGAACGGAAAAAACAGGTGAAAGAGTTAGAGCGAGCGGAAGAAATATAAGCAAGCAACAGGGAAGGGGGGCACTGAAAGTGAGACAGAGCTGAAGGCTGTTACGCCTCGCAGCTGGTGACAATGCCTTGAGGAACCCCCCAGCGTGCGTGCAGCGCAGATGAGGAGGGACGTGGTTCCCCCCGCGCGGAGTCCCTTTTGCCCTCTTACAGTAACCCCACGGCAGGGACAGGGCGCAGCCTAGCAGGGGCGGCAGCATGGGGGACTCTGAATCAGAGTCCACCTTGCACAACAACTCACTGTGGTGGCTGGCATGTGGGATGCTCGCCTTGTTGGCCAACTCTTGGATTATCCTCAGCATCACAGCCAAACAGCAGAAACACAAGCCCCTGGAGCTGCTGCTCTGCTTCCTTGCTGGGACTCACATCCTTATGGCAGCGGTGCCCCTCACCACCTACGCCGTGGTGCAGCTGCGGCGCGAGTCCTCCGACTATGACTGGAACGAGAGCATCTGCAAGGTCTTTGTCTCCACCTACTACACCCTGGCCCTGGCCACCTGCTTCACGGTGGCCTCCCTCTCCTACCACCGCATGTGGATGGTGAGGTGGCCAGGTCAACTACCGGCTGAGCAATGCCAAGAAGCAGGCTCTGCACGCCGTCATGGGCATCTGGATGGTGTCCTTCATCCTCTCCACCCTGCCCTCCATCGGCTGGCACAACAACGGCGAGCGGTACTATGCCCGCGGCTGCCAGTTCATTGTCAGCAAGATCGGGCTGGGCTTTGGCGTCTGCTTTAGCCTCCTGCTGCTCGGAGGAATCGTCATGGGCTTGGTGTGCGTGGGGATCACCTTCTACCAGACCCTGTGGGCGCACAGAAGGCGCCAGCAGTGCCGCCATCAGCGGGCTGAGGAAGCATCGTCCTGCTCATCAGCACACAACACTTTCAACGTGCCAGCCATTGTGGTGGAGGACGTGCGGGGCAAGAGGAGGTCCTCGCTGGACGGCTCCGAGTCAGCCAAGACCTCCCTGCAGATGACCAACCTCATCAGCGCCATCGTCTTCCTGTACGACACGCTCACCGGGGTGCCCATCTTGGTAAGCAGCGAGCTCTCCCTGCCCCTTCGCAAAGCCTGCAGCTAAACTCGATTTCTGCACTGTGAAAGTTTTAAGTGGCCAAGAGGAGACTGGAGAGGAGATTATTCTGCAAATGTACAGGAATGCACAGGGGCATCTACCCTTGTAAAAAGGATGAGATTTCTGCCTCTCCAGTTTGCTTCTGGAGAACAGATACACCAGCTTTAACAGCTGTTGTAGAGAGTTGTCTTTTTTCCTTCTGCTGGTGTGTTTGTAGTCAGCACTCAGGTTTTGGCTGGCTGGTCGATTCTCTGCAAAACTGGAGAGCTGAGGAAGTTCTTAAAATGAACTATTAAGAGAACAGAGGCTTTAATCATGTATTTTTTTCCAGTCTCTGTCTTTTCTTTGTACCTATTTAGCTTCAGTTCATAATGAGCACAGGGAAGAAGGGTGCTAACACCAAGTCTCATATTAGAGAGATCACAGCGCACAATACGCTCCAGCAAACCATGAACAATTTTTCAAAGGGGCATAGGGTATTAGCTTGATGAACCCTTTACTGACAGATGATATTCTGCTACAGAAGTGACTCTTGTTATCCTTCTCCTTTGATCCCTATTTCTGTCTCCTTTATTGGCCTTGTTTCTCTCTCCTACCGCCAAGGTTGTGAGCTTTTTTAGCCTGCGCTATGACACGGCCCCCACCTGGATGGTCCTCGCCGTGCTCTGGTGCTCCATGGTGCAGACCCTGCTTCTCCCCTCCTTCATCTGGTCCTGCGAGCGCTACCGAGCAGATCTCCGCACCGTGTGGGAGCAGTGCGTGGCTATCATGTCTGAGGAGGACGGAGATGACGGTAAGCCCCTCACCGCCCTACAGTCACCTTTCTTCAATAACCCCCTTCCCAAAATACTACAGTGGCCTGCCTTGGGAAAGGGACATAATGGCACTGGAAGAGATGTTGTGGGCGGCGGTATGGGATTCCTGTTAGAGCTTGGATTCAGTAAGCAGGTATTATTTAAAAAATTATTTTGAAAATTTATTCTGGAGCAGGCTCTGCCGTTCGCTTGCTGCCTTAGGACTCGCTAGCATCCCAGCAAAATCAATGCAACAACCTACAGATTAGATAAAAGAGTAGAGACGATGTGTAGCTGTCAAACCGCATTGAAAGAGACACACCCCCAGGCCTCAGCCCAACTTGCTGGTACAAAGGTCCACGTTCTGGCAGGGAGAGATCGCAAAGTGAGACAGAAGAAACAAGGTGGTCTTTGTGTCCTTTAGTCCTGCTGGCAGCAGAAAGAAAAGGTCCTTGTTCAGAGACGAGTCTCGATGGCTGCAAGTAGTGCAGCAAAAGTCAGACAAGCGTTAGGATGGCATCAAGGTGTCCTGATAATGCTCATCTTCTGTCTGGGAAGTGTTGCCTGTCATTCTCCTTGCCAACAGATGGCGTGTGTGACGATTACGGTGATGGCAGGATCTGCAAAGTGAGATTTGATGCCAACGGTGCTGCAGCTGTGAAGCGGGACTCTCGGGATATCAAACTGCTACCGATGCACCACATGTTGTTGCCCCAGGACAAGGTGCATTACCTGCAGGTGAGCTGCCGGCTGTCGGGACAGCCCCACGACCCACCTCCTTCCCTGTCGGTCTCCCGTATGTTTGTGTTCTGTGGGCTCTCCTCTCTCGGAAGGCCTCAGATACTCCCCTTCCGTTCTGCCTCTTCTCCAAGTCTTCCATCAATCACCTGCCTCCTTCTCCATTTCCCAGGTCCCTATCTCCCGGAGAATGTCGCATGATGAGACTAACATCTTCTCCACCCACCGCTCCACTCCATCCTTCCTACACAAGTGGTCTTCATCTGACGACATCCGCATTGCCACCCCCCGCAAGCCTGGAGTCCCCAGCTTCTTGCCTCCTCAGCTGCATGACTACCAGCACCGCCGGCGGCCCCCGGAAGACGAGCTGACAACCCTACGGCAGTTTTTGGAGGGGGGGCTGGTGCCGCGGGTGTCCAGCTCCAGCGCCTGCTTCTTCCGAGATGAGATCACCACCTTCATCGACGAGACGCCGCAGCCCACCCCAGCCTGCAGCCCACGGCACTCCCGTCTGCCGCTGGCATCGCGCCGCGAGCGCCGCCTCTCCCTCGGCAGCAGGGAGGAGGAGAGCGCCGAGCGGCCGCGGCGCTGCTCGCTGGCCGGCAACGAGGCCTGGCATCGGCAGGACGGGGAGCAGGCGCCACGGGAAAGGACGCCGGAGGCCTGTGAGGCGCAGACCTTCCAGGAGCCCAAACTATGAGGGACAGCATCGGAAACGTGCGGTGCCATCACGATTTTTAAACGAAACTCCAGACGTCCAGCTCGTCCCGGGACCCCGAGTACTAATTCGCATTCTCATCTTTCTTGCCAGCAGGCAGGAAACGCGGCACCCCGCGGTGGTGGTGGGGTAAAAGAAGTGTGACAGCCCTGCAGAACGGAGCTCTACGGACACGGACACCGACCTGTGCCTGCTCGCAGGTTACAGAGGCACCCGCCGCCGCCACAGCCACTTGGCACCCTTGCCGGTCCCGTCCCCTTGTGAACTCCACCCTCGCATTCGCTCTGCCCTGCGAGACGAGGCAGGCACGGAATGGTATTAAAATTCTATATTTGGAGTGTCGATCGTGTCTGTTTTTAAAATCATATATTAGCAATAATCTTGTTTCCACGGAAACGGAATGATTGGCCCAACGCTTCACGAAGCTTTGCTGGCTTCTGGGAGGGAAAGACGCCAAACGTGCAAGGCTCCCTCCCGCAGCAGTGCGTCCGGAGGGCAGCGGATTCCCAAAAGCCTGGGGAAAGGGAAGGAGGCTTGTGTGGAGGAGTCGTGATGGGAGACGGGGTGAGGAGATCCCATGTCAGGGGAGACTTAGGCTGCCTGGAGCTAAACAGGAGCTGCCTCTGGGATCTTAGAGGCAACCTCTGGCTTGAAAACTATGTTATCTCCGGAAAGACCCGGAGCCGTGATGTTGTGTTTGGCTGTGTCCCCCCCCCCAAATCCCCGGTGGCAGACGGCGGGTCGGGGCGCACCGCGCGGTGGCGTGCCGCCCCCACCGCCCCCCACCTCCAGCCTCGCCGCCCGCCCCGCGGGGCGTGCCCAGAGCCTCCTCCTCCTCCTCCTCTTCTTCCTCCTCGTCCTGCTGGGTGGCTCGGCCATGGCCCCGCTTCCCTGCTTCCTCCTCCTCCTCCTCCTCCTCCGCGCTGCCTCCGCCACGTCCCCGCCGTCTCGCCTGGCCCCCTACGACCTGCTGTACGCCGACGGGGTGCGGGCGTACTTCGCCCGCGACTGGGGGCGGGCGGCCGAGCTGCTGCAGCGCTCCCTGCACAGCTACGCGGGGCTGCGGGCCGCCCGCCGCTCCTGCCGGGCCTCCTGCCGTCGGGAGGCCGCTTTCCTGGCCGATCCGCCGGCCGCCGGGCCCTGGGAAGCGGCTCTCTTCGAGCGGGTGCTGCAGCGAGCCGACTGCCTGCAGCACTGCCTGGGCGGCCGCCTGGGCGCTGCGCCCTCCGCGCACCGAGCCAGCCTGGCCGTCCGCAGGGACTTCGAGCAGAGGGAGCCCTACAACTACCTGCAGGTCGCCTTCTTCCAGGTGGGGCGGCGAGGGCAGCCCCCTGCTCAAGGGGCTGGGGAGGGTGCGAGTGAGGTGGTGAGGAAGGGGGGTTAAGGCGCGCTGGCTTGTCCCCGCAGCTGAAGAAGCTGGATCAGGCCGTGTCGGCTGCCCACACGTTCTTCGTCGCCAACCCGCAGCACCTGCAGATGCGGGAGGACATGGAGAAGTACCGGCGGATGTCGGGGGTGAAGGCGGACAACTTCCGAGACCTGGAGGCCGCTCCGCACTGGGTAAGGCTTCGGTGCAGAACTGGGTATCAGCGGCTCGTACCACATCCTAGGGATGAGCTGGAGATGAAGGTACCACACATCAGTGAAGCCACACTCTAACAATTCTGACACAGAGGTTTTACACTGACAATTACAGCAGGCTGCAGGGTCTTGGAGAAGTACATTTAACCCCAGAGGAATCGCGCTGTGTGGTGGGCAGGCCCCTAGGTATCAGAGCAGCTATCCAGAGTCTCAGACTCAAAGTCTCAGGGAGTCCTCTCGTGTCGCCCACGCTAACGGGGAGCCCGGGTCTGTCCTTTGTAGGAAGCGTATGAGGCTGGCGTGCAGCACTACAATGCAGATGAGTACCTGCAGGCTGTGGACAGACTGGAGGAGTCGCTCAGAGAGGCGCTGTCAGCACTAGAAGAGTGCCGTGCCCTGTGTGAAGGGCCTTTGGAGGAGGAGGAGGAAGAGGAGGAGGAGGAGATGCAACCTGGCCTCTATGAAGCCATTGCAGGTAGTGTTAGAGGCACAGAGGGATGGGTAGGAAGGCCATGTCTTCCCACGGTGGGCATGCCCCATTCTCCAGTGCTCATATCTAGCAGAGCTGCTGGCTTTCATTGCTTCTCTTTCTTGCAGCCCATTATATTCAGGTTTTGAAGTGCAGACAGCAGTGCGTCCTTGATATTGCCACAAAGCCAGGGCGGATTTCTGCCACAGAAGATTTCATACCCTCTCATCTTGACTTACTACAGTTTGCCTACGACCAAGGTGAGCGCAGCTACAAGCCAGTGTGTGATGCTGTGGCACCCCTAAGCTTGCCACTTGTCTCTGGACCTGGAGGGCAGAATGTCACAGGGAGAAGCAGCCCACTTACCTGAGCTCTACCTCTCCCCTTCTTCTGCCCCCATCTCCCCTGCTCTGCCCAGAACCTCTCTTCTCTTGCTCAAGCCCAAGCCTGAGTCTGTAGCCACCTTGGGAGAGGTCTCTTGTTCTCTGCTTCAGTCTCGTTGTGCAGCTTCTGTAACATAAGGCTGTTTCCACTGTGTGTGTGGAAAAATCTTTCCTACAGCACTCTCCAATTCAAGTCCACACCCCATGTCAGGCCCCCATGTCTTATCTAGAGCATACGCATGCATCTCCTGTCAACAGTGGTGTTCCTTCCAAGTCAGCCCTGCCAGCCCTAGGTGAAATGATGGCTTCTCCTGACACTGGTCATTCTGTCACTTTTACTTGTGCCTCATCTCTTCTCTTGAACACTTCCACTCCCTTTTATACTCACCCAACTGCCTGTCATCTCCTCTGTCAGACCACTGGAAAAACTTGTATCTCAGAGAAGCCTCCAGGCTCCTCATCATGTTTGGTGAGAGATGTGGGACTGGCCTATACATATTTGCTGGTAACGCCAAGTCTTTCAGAGACATACCTGTTTGTTCTGTTTTGTCCCTGCCCTAGTTGGGAACCAGGCACTGGCTGCTGAATGTGCTGCTTCCTATTTGCTCTTCTATCCCACGGATGAGCCAGTATTGGAGAAGATGAAGCAGTACCAAACAGAGCTCGGAGAGGACACAACTGTCACGGCAAGAGAGGTAGTTACAATCCCAGGACTGTACTTTCTGGCCCTCCCCTGTCCCATACAACAGGATCCCAGGTCCAGGAGACAAAAAGGGAAATGTGTCTTAATGCAGATGTATGCCAAGCCCAAAAGTGAAGACATTGGAACCTGAGTGTGCTTTTACTCTGTACCAAGCAGGGTCTTTCTGGGACAGAACTGGGCCCTCATAGCAAACAGCAGTGTGTGGCAGAAGGTTTCTGCCCTGGATGGGGTTCCCTTTTGTGGAGTGGTTGTTTGACAGCCTTTTTGCTTCCATAGAATATTCACCATTATGTGCAGAGATCTCTGATGGAGAAGAAGTTGATTTACTATGCAGTGGAGCATCTCGGAGGAACTTTTAATGATCCTGTAAGTAATGATACCATCTTAATCTTCCTGCCCCGATTTTACCAAGACAGTTGCTTGATCTTGTTTCGGTAGCACCTGATCCAGAAAGGATCAGATGCTGGTGAGCAGGATCCCCAAGTACGTGTGAGGTGGATTTTTTAAGGCTTTTCTGCTGCTTCACAACTGAAGTTGTTTGGAAACTGCTGTAGTAAGCATATACATTAGCCAAATCTGATGTTCCTCAGCTTCAGACCAGAACCATTGGTTTGATCTTCCATGGAGAAGGGGGACAAGGAACTATCTGTTTGTCCTGATCTGCTGTGGGAGAAGTTTGCTTTGTGGTGAGCTGTCTGTATTTGTTCCTACAGGATCTTTGGACTCCAGATGAGCTGATTCCTGAAAGCCTAAAGCAGAAATACAGGTAGGGTTGGATGAGTTGACTAGGACTGAAAATGAAGTTTGGAAGTAGGGGATGGGGGCAGACTGGCAGGGGTGATATAAGGAACAGCAATACTGAGGGATTGGCAAAGCAGGAATAGTAAGTGAAATGCTGACCACAGAGGAGGGTTAGACATAGCTCTGTGTGCTGACAGCCCTGGTCTGTGTTTTTTCCCTTGCTCCCGAGAGAGGATCAAGAGAAGCAAAAGCAGGAAACTCTGGATGTAGAAGAGAGGGAGAAGAGGGGTGAGTAAAAGCATGAAGAAGGATTTGGATGCAGTCAGCTAAGCTAAATGCTGTCTTTGCTTCCATCCTCAGACATTTGAATGCTAGCGTACACGCAGACTGACTCGAATGGCTCAGCACGTCTTCTCACTGTTTCTTTTCTCTATCTGTGATGCATGTGTAATCTTGAAAAATCTCGCTGCATTACCTCTCTGGGATGGGAACTTAAAGAGCACTGTGGTTGGAGAAGCTGCCTGGATATTTGACGAGCCTGTGGACGTGCAGATCCCTGTTCAGTGCAGCTGGTGTGGACAGGCAGGAGCGAATCCTGCACGAAACCTGGTTCAACTCCGCCACCCCATTTCAAACAGCATTTTTCTGAAGGGGACAAAGAGAAGGCAGGGGGGAATGGAAACTGGAACCAGACTGTTCAGCTTGGGCAAGTCTTTCCCTGAAAAACACCATTCCAAATGTTTTGTGGCTGAATGCTAAAGGCTGCAGTGCAGAGTCCTGCATTCTTGCTGGTCCTGTACTCTTGCAGGACTCTTGTCATCAAGTAGCCCCGAGTGATTCTCTTGCTGTGTCATGTGAAAGCAGGTCATTCTGAGAGCCTGAGTGCATTGGCACTTCTTACCATCCAGAGGTGAGAGGAGGGGAGGGGGGAAGAAGACCAAAGATCAAAAGGTTAAGTTATTACCTAATACCCATCACTTCTCTTTGAGACTGGAGAAATTAGGAAGATGCACTGGATGTACTTCTGGGGGAAGATGGATGATAGACAGGAGGGTTGATGGAGGTGTTTACCTGCTTCTTTTCTCCAGAGCCTCACCCCAGGAGGCTGGACCTGTTCTGCTGCTGCGATCCACAGTGCATTCAGCTGTCCCCAGCTCCCTGCTGCTCTCCCAGCAAGCCCCACGTTTCTGCTGGCTCCTGAAGCACTTGCTGTAGGCCAGCTCCCCCAGCTGATGCTCTGGTTCCCCTGAAGCATGTGAGGGGTGCAGGTGGCCCAGATCTGCGAGGAATTAGCACTTCTGGGGAAGTGTCCTGTCTTCCCAGAGAATGTATAGTGTCTCTCTACTTCCTGGTCCAGGCTGGGGGTTGGTGTCTGAGGGCTTCTTATCCAAAGCGTGCTCATCTCTGTCTGTGCTTCCTTCTCCTACAGGTCCGTTGCCTTTTGAGGGCATCACTGTCACCATGG